GGGTGAAGTTTTAAAAGTCAAACCAGCAGTGTCCCGTATCCTAGTTATTGTTTACCCTGTCAGGCAGTCATGTGTGGTAAAATCTGGAATTACCAATTCTTTAATTATGGGCTAAAGGAACAATTTTGAGGTGCATGACCTTTCAATCTTTGAGTATAACCAAATTCAATATCTGACCCCAAATGTATGAATATAGTAGTCCACAATAGCGCTTCCTGTTCCTGAGTTATGTGTTGCGAAATGGCCAAAAAGGTGTTTTTTTCAAGGGAAAACATTGATGAATATTCACAGTAAGTTGACGCCTTCCTGACCTTTAGATAGAACAATATCATGCGACTCATCAATGTATCCCAAAATACAACATGCTGTGTAAAGATTTTGTCAGTAATTGATGCATCAATTCTTCAGTAATGACCCGAAAAAAAAAACGTGTTTTGTGAGGTCACAAGTGACGTTGCGCTTTGACCACCAAGTCATAATCATCAATCCCATCATTCATCAATCCCATTAGTTCATCCCCCTCCGGGTCGCAAGCGGCGTGTTGTGCAAGAAAATGAAAAATAGAAACATGATGCCTCCCCCCGGCCATGGCTATTGTCCCCCCCAGCAAAAAGAAATGATAGCAGCTGCAGTTAAATGTTGTATGTTTGCCTGACTGAGCAGAGAGCTCAACAGGGGTTAAGTCGCAGTGCCATGTAGTGCTGCATTTTCCACAAAGTCTTGGGAGATTTTTGCCAAGCCCCAACCAAGATATTGTCAAATTGTGAGCCAGCAAAAATTTGATCCCCTATTTCTATTAGTTTCTCCTGCCTGGACACCATGTCTTGTCAACCTTCAATTCCCTCCCAATTTTGTTTTCTCCCAAGCCCCCTGAGTTATATCCGTGGAATCCCCTTTCAAAATTTGGAACCCAGGAGCTGCCTCAAATAAATGCGCTGCCGAATATTTGGCTCTGAAAAGATGCTCCAAAATACATCTGTTAAAGCCGCCTTCTTTGATTAGGACGGTTAGAGTTGGGCAATGTTGATATGCCAATCCCCTAAACTCAATCAAGAACCCTCCCAAGGTGAGAGTGGATAGTTGAAAATTAAATAAATGAATAGGCAAACAACATGAAAACTATGTCACAAGTTGAGGTAAAATTCATTGATTGGGTGAACTGTAAAATGGTGCCAACCAACCAAAAGTAATGTAATCGGGAGATTTATATTAAGATATACACAGAAAATGCCCTAAATCCTATGCTCTATCTTCCGTTGTGTGTTTTTTTTAGTGCTAATTTTCCATTCCTTTTCTGCTAAAAAAGCCATTAAAATCTAAACGAAAAAGAAAACCAATGCAGGGCAAGACGCCCCAGCAGCCCGCCTCCCCCTAAGGCGATAGCCAATCGAAATGGGCCCCCATGGTTCAGGTCCTGGAATGCCACTGATTGGCAGGAAGAGGAAATTTCTGAAAACTACTTTTTGTGTGTTCTTTGATTCCGCGGGCCGGGCATTGTAAGTATCCGTCTGCGCTCGACCTACGGTAGCACGAATGGGCGCAACGCCATAATTTTGCAAGGGCAAGCCCTTCGATACTCCAGAGGAGGCAGAAGATGCAAAGATATAGCTCCACAACCGCACACCTACAACACTGTTTACTCCTATGCAACTATGACTTGTGGGAGATTCCTCACCACCACCTCCCTTTTAATCCCACAACAAAACTCTCTCTCCCCTTTTTGTTCTCCACCCAGCCAACCCTGCCCTCCCCTGTGGGGGAATTGTTTAAAAAAAAGGTTTTGGGCACACCAATGCAGCCCCTGGGAAACCGCAGTTTAGAAAGCCGCAGACCGTGGGTTTTCAACTGAACGCAGCCCAACACTTTGGTTCATGGAGCACATGTAGGCCCCCGATCAAGAGTGATAACAACCAACACAAGAGAGAGAGGGCGAGTACCGTCTGCTGGGTGGAGTAGCTCTCTCATTAGACTGCTCTTAAATTTCATCATCCTGACTGTGTGTGTGTGTGTGTGTGTGTGTGTGTGTGTGTGTGTGTGCTGTGTGGTTCTGCCACTTACTGACCTGTTGAATCCCAATTTTACATTGGAACTCTGATTGGTCGCTTGAATTTGAGGCTGGCAGACAAAGGAGCGGGCGGTGTGCATTATCTAACAGGCAGCATCGCAGGGGAGAGGAAGGTTGCAACAGTACACTGGCAACGACTGGTGACATGAGCACATTGGAATAATTTCTACAGTCATGTCTAGGCTCAGAGGTACCTGGGAATCCCTGAATCTGCAGAAAACAGCCGCACGATGCCTACGGTTTACTTCTTTTGGGCCGGGCTTGTAAGGTTGCTTCTTGTTTATATGGATTGGTTGATGCGCGATGGTGGATTGGGGGATGAATAAAGGTGAATTTTGCTGGTAAATCTTCCCCCTTTTTTCCATTTTCCATTTCTGGGATATCTCTACATTCAAAATGTTTTCAGTGGTAAATTAAAATGTTTTTTTCCTTTATGTATTTATGCATGTTTAAAGATAATGGATAGTAGATAGATAGATGGGTTGTTACTTGTAGTGACTTAGTTATTGTTATGTTATTCTTATAAGTAATACGAATATTTTTGTGCACTCTTGGTTCTCTTTCTGGGTACTGTTCACATTTGAACGGTACCCCTGGAATTCGGTACCGGTACCCAAACGGGTACCTTACTCTGTCTCTCTAATAACAAAATGTAATATTCAGTTTGTAAAAAGGTCCAAACTTCCCTACCACTTGCATTACTGTAATATTCCCCGATAAGTAGGTATGTAATCTCACAATTCACATTTCATGGATTTTTTACATAATAACGTATTATTGGGAATCAGGAGAAAGTTTCAGAGCGACAGAGACACAGAGTGACCATAGTAACTCATTCACATGGTGTGAGAGTAGTGGGACGGACTCAAGTCCGTCAGTGCACTCTGTGTGTCCTCTTTTGGTGCTGTTATCAGTTCATAATGTGTATTTAACTGCGTGAGAACTGTGTGCGACAGGAGTAGACGAGTGACATGAGAGCCTGTGATCAGTTACCTGAGTCTCAGGGTCAGTGCGTCGACACACCTGTGACTAACACTAGTAAAACTGTAAGAGTGAAAACCAGCCTGTTATCGCCAGCAACAACTTATCCAAAGATAATTACCTGAAGATGTTGACGAAGTGGTCGATGCCTGAGTTAAAGTATTGACATCAAACATTGCACTGGTTGCAGACAGGCTTACGTTGTGGCAGCTGCAGGGGTCTTTGCATTCAGGATATCATACACAGTTACGCTCCACTCTTCAACTTTTAGATATATTTTGTGTTTAAGATGGATGTTTCTTCTGGGTAAACATGTTGCCCTGGCCAACTTCTGCATTTTGCATTTTGCATTAGACTGCCTGCGTGCCCTTACTCACTATGACTTGAACAAGCTGCAGGCGGCGAACCTCACTTAGGTCGTTTTTTTCCCTCTCCTGCGTCTTGTCTCTCTATACTCTACTCTCTCACCCAGACAAGCTCTCAGATACCGAAATGGCACCGATTAATTAACGTGAATCGGTACGCTATTGTAGCGACATAGTTCAGTCTTAAAAGTACAGAGTTCAATACCCAGCCCTGCAAGTCTTCCCCGAATCTGACATGCAGCATCTGTGCATTTTTGGTGATGATGAAATAAAGCCACTTTTGCTTCACTCTCT